TCCTGAGTACAATTCCCAGCAACCCCATGGTGGCTCACAACCATCTATAGTGGGATCTGATGCCCTCTTCTGGCATAAAGGTGTACATGCAGACAGAGCACTCATATACATAAATAAATAAATCTTTTTTTTTTTTTTTTTTTTTGGAGCTGAGGATTGAACCCAGGGCCTTGTGCTTACTAGGCAAGTGCTCTACCACTGAGCTAAATCCCCAACCCCCCTTTTTTTTTTTTTGGAAATAAATCTTTTTAAAAAGGTGGGAGGGGACCTGAAGAGAAGAGATGACTGGGGGCCGGGCTGAAGAGAAGAGATAGCTCAGTGGTTCAGAGCACTAGCTGCTCTTGCAGAGGATCTAGGTTCAGTTCCCAGCATCTACAGCACAGCTCAGAACCACCTGTAATTTCAGTTCCAGGGAATCCAATGCCCTCCAAGGTACCAGGCTCACATGTGGTTCACATACATACATTCAAGCAAAACACTCACACACATAAATAAAAAATTAGCTAGGAGTGGTGGTGCATGCCTTCGATCCCTGAGTTTGAGGCCAGCCTGGTCTGCAGAGCAAGTTCCAGGACAGCACTACACAGAGAAATTCTGTCTCAAAAAAAAGGGTGTGAAGGTGTTTAGTAATGGCATAGGTTTATTTCCCTTAATAGTGTTCTTTTTTTTTCTTTTGTTTTGCTTTGAAACAGAGTCTCATATAGCCCTAGCTGGCCTCAAACTTGTGTTGTAAAAGATGGCTTTGAATTCTTGATGCTCCTACCTCTGTTTCCAAAGTGCTAGAGTTATAGACATGTGCCACCACAACCACTTCCCTAACAGTTTTGGTTCTGGGTCCACTGAATCCACAGTCACAGAACTGTGGAACAACTAACATACTGCAGAGTGAGGCTGCCCCACTGGAAGAACAGGAGCAGCCTGCTGCTGGAGTGCAGGCCTGCATCACAAGGTCTCCAAGCTGTTCAAAACAAGCACAGCACCTAGCTGCTTTATTAAACTTCTCCAGATGTTGATAATAAGGGGCAGAAATATAGCGTAGTGGTCAAGAGCACCAGCCGCTCTTCCAGCAGACCTAGGTTTGATTCCCAGCACCCATGTACAGATAGCTCACAACTATCTGTAACTGCAGTTCCAGAGGATCTGACTCCCTCTGTGGGCACAAGGCACATATGTGGCACACAGACATATATGCAGTCATAACACCCATAAACATAAAATAACAGCTTTAATTTTTTTTAAAGATGCTGGTCATTGGAGGTAGAAACTTCCAATAATGCCACGCACATCAAGTGAAACACACTTGTGAACTGACTTTCTCTGGGGGCTGCCAGGTTAAAAACTCCTATAGGCTAGGGATGTAGCTCAGCTGGTAGAGAAGGGGTGCCCAACATGCACGGAGTCTTGGGTTCCACCACACACACACATACTGCATAAGCAGGACATCGAAGCGTACACCTATAATCCCAACCCTCAGGAGGGAAACAAAGAAGGATCAGGCAGGAAGTGCATCGTCAGTTATATAGTGAATTTGAGGCCAGCCTGGCATGCAGGAGACTCTGTTTAAAAAAAATCAAGCCGGGTGTGTGGTGGTGTAGGCCTTTAATCCCAGCACTTGGGAGGCAGGGGCAGGCAAATCTGTGAATTCAAAGCCAATCTGGTCTACAGCAAGTTCCAGGACAGCCAGGGCTACACAGAGAAGCCCTGTATTGTAAAAACCAAAACAGTCAGTGAGTCAATCAACCAACCAACCAACCAATGGGCAGGGCAGGGCAGGGCAGGACACTACACAGTCAGGTAGAACTTTCTCTTCCTGGGTTTGGAGACTAGGTTTCTCTCTGCCATGTCAGCTGCTCCTTAATGTCTTCCTAATCTCTCATCCTGGGTCTTAGGCCATTGCTATTTCCCTCAATCAGATTTCAGTAAATGGGAAGGGTGTCTAGAGGATCGGGAAAAGGGTAGGAATGGGGCCCAAGGAAACCAATCCTGCCTCCGACTCTGCCACCAGCTGCCTCAGCTTCACCACTGAGTAAATAAAGAGTACAGTTCTCCGTCTTCCTGCCTTGACTTTGTAATAGAAGTGGCTGCTAGTCAGATGTTTCTTCTGTGGTACCTCCGTATGGCCCAGTGTGCACACAGTTTCAGGGAGGAGGGCTGACTTCCCTCCTGGGAACCCTCTAGAGCTGTGGGTTTCCCTCTGAGGAAATACGGGATTTATAGGAAACACTACAGTGTACTAAGTCAAAGTGAAAGAATCCACGGGCCTCTTCTGACAAGCCACTTCGTGACTAGCAGAGAGGAAACAGGACTCTACTCATCCTGCATATGGAGAGGTTCTGCTGTATTTTCCCAGGCACAGAGAAATGGGGAGTCTTACAACCAACACTCCCTGGCGTTCTTTGTCCCTCTCCTCCACAACCCAGCACCCACATCTGAACTCCTCCCATTTTTTGTTAACTGCCTTTCCTTCCCACCCCGACTCTCTCTCAGTCCACTTTCTCAGTACCTCCGGTCTCCAAGTTCCTCCAGGAAAGTCCAGGTAATGCAGAGGAAAAATGTAAAGAAAGGGGACAGCTACCTGAAGGAGGATAAAACAAGAGGCAGCATTCCAGTGTGGACCCCACAACCATTCCCACACCATCGAGAATAACGAGGACGGTTTGGAGAGCAGGAAGGGTCTGGGCAAGAGGCACATCTACTAGGTTCCTAGAAAGCACCCACCTCACCAGCTTATTTAGCTAACCACCATACTTGGTTAGTACCCAAGACTAGATCCTGGGGGCTGAATCACAATCAAGTCTCTAGACTCTTGAAGACTTGGACCTTACAACTACCTCAAACTGGTCTTGGTGACTCATATCCGTGGTCACAGATACTTGGGAAGCTGAGGCAGGAGGATCGCTTGAACCTAGTAGTTCAGGGCCAGGTTGGGGAACGTAAAGGAAATACAAAAGGGATGATGACATCGGCTGTCTAGGGATTGCCGGGTTCGCTCCCTGCTGTAAGCAAACAATTGAAGCAGCAGATTAAAGTAACAACTTTACACATTCAAGATGGACTAAAGATGGACACTGGCTTAAGTGTTTTATAGGCGCTGGGTCCTCCTCTCTCCCCTACTGGTCCTGTCTAGACACGGCCCACCCTGTGCCTTCCTGCAGTTTCTCCTCAGAGTCTTCTGGGAACAAGAAGCTACCATCTCAGGGAGCCTGCCTTAGCTGTCCTTGCCTACTGTGTTCCTCTAACCCTGCTTCAAAGCTGTTACAAAATCAAGAAGCAAAGCCCCTCCCATTCTGCTGTCCTAAGAGGACTTGCTTGTGCCCACCTGGATTCTGTCATTGCCACTTGCCCTGGCCTCAAACCGAGCCTGTCTTTGACTTCTAGAATCCTGAGTCATCACCGAAGAGGGACAGATTTAGCTCCAAAAATGTTTCTGATCTCGTCAGTTCCTTGCGTAAAACCTTCACTAGCTCCCCACTGCTTACAAGATAAAGCCTTGGAGCCAAGCCCTCACTAACACATTTCAATGGGCAGCTGTTTCTTGCTCCCCTCAATCCAGGACTCTGTCATGAATATTCCCTGTCCTTGCATACCATGTTACTCCTACAACAGCATCTTTTCCATATTATCTATAATTTTACGCCTGACTCTTCTCAATTCTAAAAACATTTTTATCATGTCGTTTTGTAACCCTTATGGATTAACTTAGGTCTGCACTCAGGTTCTCATGCCTACTAAACCATCTCACTAGCCACTGTTTTTGTATATTTGGTTCCCCATTGAAAACAAAATTTCCGACATCACTGGCTTATGAGTTCTAGCAGTTCCCTTACGTTTTTTTTCTTTTGATGGTACTTGGGTTTGAACCTAGGCTTCACTGATAAAAGGTGCTCTATCACTGAGCTGTATCTCCAGCCTTGTTTTTGCTTTAAAAAAATTAAAGTTTTATTTTTTAAAGATTTTTACTTTATGTGTTATGACTGTTTTGCCTACATGTAAGCATGTGTAACATGTGGCATGCGATGCTCTTAGCAGTCACAGAAGGGTGTTGAACCCCCTGGAACATAATTACAGTCTGTGAGCCAGTGTGTAGGTGCTGTTAACTGAAAACAGGGCATCTGCAAAAGCAGCCAGCACTCTTCAGCAGTGCTCCGTCTCTACAGCCCCGAAGTTTTTAACTTCCTGTGTAGGACGTGGCAGGGTGGGTGAGTGGCGTGCACATGACATGGTCCCTGTGTGGAGGTCAGAAGACAACTTTGGGACTTGGTTCTCTCTTTTCACCCACCCTACAGGTCCCAGAGGTCAAGCTCACGTTGTCAGGCCTGGTGGTGAATACCTTTACTAGTCTGAGCCATTTCACCTCACTGGACTTTTAATCCTCCTGCCTCAGTCTCCTGAGTAGTTGGGATTACAGGCTTGTGCCAACAGGCCTATTCTGAAGTTTCCTTACCTCTACATTCTCCTGCTAGATCCTGGCCACTGTTAGGTAGAAGCCTAAGAGGAAGAAATGTGGTTTTTTTTTTTTTTTTTAAGAGGGTATGACCTGTAGCTTTGGTGTTCTGGAGCTTGAAGCTGAGACAAATTCATAACTTCATCAACCTCTATTTCATGCCATGCATTAGCGAGCAATCTCAAGGAGGGCATACTCTCTGCTCCAGGGAGAGGCATTGGCTTGTGGGCCCTCCGGATCTATACCTCCACACAGGGGCCATTTTAACACCGAGTAACCTGGGATTTCTCTACATGGCACACTCAAGGCAAGACACAAGCTAAGCTTCATCATGGCAGTTTCGTGTTTGCAGACGTAGGAATTCCATGCATTTGTCCGGCCCGGGGCTACTTGTCACAGGCAGCTAGACCTGTAGTTCACTCTTCGCAGCATTCCTTATCAACAGGTGTTTGAAGACATTAACTTTACTAGACTAGACAGGTGCTTTCCAGGAGCCAAACCAGTGTGCCCACTCCCCAGCCACTAACACCCCAAAACACAGAGTCCACACTCACAGTAATGTAAAACCATTTAATTCTAAATCAAATCGCTTTCACAACAGTGAAAATCAGTGGCTCGTCAAGGTATGCTGCCTTACATGTTCCCATTTTCTGACTGTCCTTGTCCATGGGGGTGGCAGAAAGGTGGAGGCTGAGGACATACAAAACAAAGAAGGGAAAGCTGATTTGGCTACAGGACGAGTGGTGAGCCTAAAGAGTATAGCCTACAAAGGAGAAGGGACTCCCAAGTTGGCTCTCCTGCCTCAGCTGCCGGCAGGTGTGTAGCCCTGTAATGTTCACAAAGGGCACATGGCCATCCCAGCTTTGTTACTGGCATGCTCCTGGAATGCCTTTGCTGAGTGCACACCTGGGCTCATTCCATTTCACCAGATTCCAAATGATTGACTCCACTACTTAAAACTCTTCTTTCCTTTCTTTGGGAAACTCATTTCTTTTGTGTTCACTGGCTTAAGTTTCCCTCTACCACTCAAGGCTACACCACACTGAGGGATTCTACCAATTCTCTCTAGAACAGAGACACTCCAGGGGCCCCGGGACTGGGGATTTCCAAGTGACACAGAATATTTAAAGTCTGTCAGCACATTATAAAGTTGCTTATTCTTACCAGCTGGATTTGCCAAACCACCCTCCCACTCAATACTTCATACTGTATCCATTTCGATACTAACACTGGCATTGGCAGGTGGGGACCGCGAGTGAGGAGGAGGGCTCTCTCATCATCCTCAAAGTCTAGGATTCCACAGATTATGGAGAGCCGTATCTAGAAAAGTCACCACCCGGTTTCTGTTATTGCTGGGGCAGTGAGTGCTGAAGAAGTGAACAAAAGGGTCCAGTAGAAGTTCATCTTGCTGCCCTGCTGAGGTCTCCAGTAAGAGACATTTCTAAGATGAAGCCTCATAGGCAGAGCAAGAACCGTCTGAGCAGGTGAACTATTCTCCTGCCTGGCACCACACTCCCACAATCAGGTTCAGAGGAAGCAGCTTATGAATTTCAAGAACAAATCGATATGTGGGAAGAATAAGGAAGACCATACTGTATCACTGTGGTCCTTTGCTTTTACATATCACCAGGGGTTGCTTGCTCAGGAGCCTCATGTGTCCCTGGGTTCAGCAGACATTCAAGGAGTTTTCAGGTAAATCCATCAAGCTATACCAACATCAGGGACTGCAGGTGGAATGAGAGTCCTGAATGCGTTTAAAAAGGACAATGGCTTCTGAGGATGGTAGTTCTACATGCAGCTGGCTGACCTGAGAAAGCCTCCAGTTTCTCTGGGCAAGTTCTGAGAGAGGATTACTCAGGCTTCTATAGCCTAGGGGCAGGGATACTTGTCCTGCTGTCCCTGCATCAAAGCTCTGAAGCAGAGTAGTTGGTTCAAATTCAGCAGTAGTCTAGAGGAGAAAGCTGATGGGAAATCTGAGCCAAGTGACACCAGGGACAATCTACCAGGAAACCAGGCAGTCAGTCACTCAAGCTGCTTTCTAGGGCCAAGACACTGAATGAGGCCCAGAGCCAATCAAAGACCAGAGTCTCTGGTAAGGTCCCACAGCATCTTCAGCTCCTGTTGCTATAATTATGACCTTCTTGGGGCAGGGCAGTAATTCTTCTGTCTTTGCTGAGGAAGGGGAGGGCAGGAGGGCAGGCAGAGCAGCACTGGGATCTGGAAGGGAATCTCTCAGAATAGCAGAGGCCACTTACCAAGGGTATTTAAACAGGTGAAAGTAAGTTTCCATAAATACCATTTGGTTCATCCCTTCATTTTTGTAATATAAAGTTCTGGTGAAAGAAACTCTGTTTCTTTCTTCCCATCTCTTCCCTGTGTAGAGCTGGGACCTGCTGAGAAGGCTGGAACAGGAGAAGTGATTCAACATAAGACCTGAGGTTATAGAAGGGTGTTTACAGCAGTGGTGAAACTGGGGATTCCTTGCCAACTGGTTTTGAGTTCCAAAGCTCTAATGGAGAAGCAAGACTCCTTGATGTGTTTCTGACCCTTGATTCCAGGGGTCGGGATTAAACAAGTCCAACACCAGGAGTGGGTGTGGCACATCACCAGTCCAGAGGTGCTGCTGTAGATGCAAACAGGGGTCCTGTATTAGGCGATCAGGAGCCAGAACATGATCACCAGGGCTACAAACAGGAAGAGACGTGACAGGAACTGCTCATCCACATACTGGGGTGTCCCAGGGACAGCTAGAGAGACAAGAAGGAAGAGACTTTGTCAGAAGACTGTGCATGCTGCCCACTGGGGCCACAAATGGAGAGGATGAATCTTTGTTTTGTTACAAAAACAGAATCCTGCAATGAAAAGACCCCCAAACTTCAAATAATAGGACCCCAAACAAAAACAAGTGAACTACTACAATGAGGCCTTGATCTCCAGAAGAGCTGTCCTGCACATGCAAGTTAGCCAGGGGACTAGGAGGAAACCCTGCAGGAACAGGGACCCTCTTGCCTGTCTTCTCTATGCTGCTGTATGCACGGTACTACTTGGTGGGTCTCATTTAAAACAGCAGCAGCAGAAGCAGAACATGGGCCTTCTGAGACCATAAGGGCTCACACATGAGCAGCACTCTCCTGCCTCTTTGCACACTATTCCAAAAGGCTCTCTGCCTATCTGTGAGTCTGCTTTTTCCAGAAGAGAACCAGGGCCCAGCAATCATATGGCAAGGTAGAAGGAGACTGAGTGAGAAACTCTACTCGATAGAGTTCTCTGCTCAGACTGTAGAGGAAGGAAGGTGACAGAATCCATGTCCAGGCTGTGCAAATCATACCAAACATGACAAAGAAAAACTGGGAATGAACTGGGGGAGATCCAGTCTGAATGCTGGACCACGATAGAAAGCACTGAGCCAGTCGGAAGTTCCTGTTGCCACAATAGGGATCTGTCTTTCCTTTAAGGCAAATCACATCCTGCCCTTTGGGGTCCCCTTCCGCTGAGAAAACAATGTGTGAACAGCAGAGAGACATTCCAGGCAGATAAGCCATGGAGTAGTGCCCAGCATTTTGTGGGTTGCATGTCATTCCCTCAAAGTTGGTTGCTCTGATAAACTCATGCAGGCAGGCCACCAAGAGGTTTATCGCCTACTATGTTCAAGGAATCAGATGAAGCAGGGGAATAGCTTTGATGATTTCTGAGTGTTTGATCATATTCAGAGCACAAGTTCCTGACCAGAGCTACACTGGTCACTTCTGTTCCTCATACTGTACTCAGGGCCCAGGAGGCTCCAAAGACTATAAGCAGGGCTCAACTGACCATGTCATCTTTTATAGGCTCCATGACACGGGTGGTGGCTTAGGCATCAGAGTATAATGGAGTCAAGCACACACCCTGCTTCCTTGCTGTACTCTGAATGCAGCTGTTATAGACAGGTGGCTGAAGGGAGAAAGACAGCAGCAGGTGACAGACATAAACACAGTTCCCAAAGCTCTGAAGCTTTGAAGTATCAGCGCCATTTTGTATCCTGAGAGAAGCTGGGCAGAGATGTCAGGGAACAGGAGGCCCTAACATTTCACTTCTCCCTGGCCCCAAATGGTCAAAGTGTATGTGTCTGTGGGGGAGCACACGTGTAGAATTAAACTTTTTTTTTGGTTTTTTTGAGACAGGGTTTCTCTGTGTAGTTTTGCACCTTTCCTGGATCTCGCTCTGTAGACCAGGCTGGCCTCGAACTCACAGAGATCCGCCTGCCTCTGCCTCCCGAGTGCTGGGATTAAAGGCGTGCGCCACCACCGCCCGGCCATTCATGATGTTTTTTAAAGAAATGGGGCTTACCTGGAGGAGGCCGTCCGTCGTTTATGTTAAATGCTGTGGCAAATATCCCAAATGGAAATGCTCCTATTCCAAAAGACATCTGAAAGCCACCATCTCCAAATCCAAATCCTTGAAATCCCTGTGGAGAAGAAAAGCAATTAAGAAAAATAGGCAGATTTATCCCACATTTCTCAAACAATGTCTTACATCACAGTGCATGTGGCACCCATGTTTTCTTCTTGTCCTTCTGTCACAAACTAGGGCCTCAGCTCTTCCTCCCACCCAGGCCCAAGAGGAAAGGGACTCGAGAGGCACATCTCACCTTCTAGCCTTAGCTCCAATCTAAGGAGCTATAAACGGTGCAAAAAGGGCCCATTCTGACCAAAAGTGAAACACACTGTTGTCAGCGTGTTTAGATCATTTATATGGGGTTAGATCATATTCCAGGGTTCCATATTAGCCAGTAAAATTTCCTACATGCTATTTATAATAACTACTGACAATCAGTCCCATACCCAAATGCAAAGGAACATCACAAACTACATACTATAAGCAGTAACAAGTTTTCTATGTCTCATAAATGTATTAAAAGGACCTGTAATTAATGGTGTTATATTACAGAATATACACATGGGATTATATAAAAAAAAAATGGAATTCTGATTGGTCAAACAAAATCTTGCAGCATGTTCTCCAAGGACCTTGGTGCTCATTTATTCAACAAGACAGAAAACCTTCTTGTGACTTAAACTGTCAAACTGCTTAAACACCTGTACATGAAAATATGAGTATGTTGTCAATATATGTGTAAGTATTTCCCTTAAAACCTTCAGGGGCTGCAGATAGAGCTGAGTTTTCAAACCCCTGGTTTGCTCCAAAGCATTGCATAGTTGGGCATGGTGACACATACCTATAATCACAGCACTCACAAAATAGACACAGGAGGATCAGAAGTTCCAGATTATCCTCAGCTAGTATGGAGTTCAAAGCCAGCTTGGGATACATGACAGGACCTTGTCTTAAAAAAATTATTTTAGGCTAAGTGATGGTAGTTCCTTATCAGCTCAGCCTGGTCTATATAACAAAATTCCCCCAACAAAAACAGAAACAAAACACACACAGAAAATTCCCATGTCACATAAAATTGTAAATATTTAGAATATTTTATTTTTTTTCTGATTAATACAGAAACGTGGGTGTGGTACTGTGATCTAGCTCATGGGAAATGGGGACAGGAGGGGTGGGAAGAATAATAAGTACTTGTCATAAGAAAGTAAGTCACTGATCTTCCTAAATAGCCACTGTCAGCAGTTTGGACAGCGCCTTGGTTTCTTCCCCCAACACATTCACCACACACGATCTTTCCAAGGACAGACTCAGGAGAACAACAGCACTGCTAGGAAGTAGTCTCTGTCTGAGTGCAAGGTCTCCTGGCACAGGACACACAAACCCGGCCTTTCCTTTCCCTTCTCCCTATTCTGACAGGATCTCACTAAGTAGCTTGGGCTGGCCTAACATTTGCAATGCTCCTGCCTCAGGATCCTGAGTGCTGGCATTACAGATCAGTACCTCCAAGGATAAGCTTATGTACCAGTTCAGCAGGGTGTTGGTGGAGCATGCCTTTAATCCCAGCACTTGGAGGTAGGGGCAGGCGGAGTTCAAAGCTAGCCTGGTCTGCAGAGCAAGTTTCAGGACAGCCAGGGCTACACAGAGAAACCCTGTCTCAAAAATAAAATAAAATTTTAAAAACGCACCAATTCAAGTGAAAAAAAGGATGTGTACATAGATTATCATAGTATCATTTAAACAGCAAAATCTGTGAGCAACTCTAAGGCCCTTAATGATGAACGGAAATTGTACAGAATCAAAATTCAATGGAAGGGCAGTGATATAGCTCAGTGGTACAGTGTTACCTAGCACACTTGACCCCTTGATTTAATACCCAGGACACTTCGTTCACACCTATACACACACACACCCTATCTCTTTCTGGTGGAAATACATGGTAGCCTTCAATAAAGAGGACCAAGAGGGCTCGAGGTGTAGCTTGGTTGAGTAGAGCTGCCTAGAATGCACAAAGCTCTGGGTCTGATCCCTAGCACTGGAGAAGTGCAGGCAGGGAGAATCACAAGTTCAAGGTTATTCTCTATTACATACCAAGTTTTAGGCCAGCCTAAGATATGTGAGACTCTGCCTCAAAAAAAGACAGTAAGATAAAAGAAAATTAAAAAATTAAACAACAGCCAAAAAAAAAAAAACAAAAAACCTGAGAGTGGTGGCATATACCTATAATCCTAGAATCCAAACCCTGGAGAGGCCGAGTTCAAGCTGTATATGGAGACACTCTCTCAAAAATAAAAAGACTGGGCTAGAGATGGCCAAGATGCTCTTAATGGTGAAGAGCATTTCTTGCTCTTTCAGAGACCAGAGTTCAGTTCCCAGCACCCACTCAGGCAGCTCACAACTACCTATAACTCCAGATTCCAGAGATCCCATGTCCTTTTTTGGTTTCCAGAGGGAACACCCTCACATATACATAAATAAATGATAAAAACAATTAAAAAAAACTAGAATATGACAAACCTCTCTCTAAAACACAATATTAAAAAGAACACACAATTATATTTTGAAGATACTTTGTTTAGAATATCATGAAATATACTGCCAAAATTAAATGTGAAAGCAGTTAACAGAATTGTCAGAGTGACATAAAGATCAGACTATATAGGCTGGAGACATGACTAAGATGACAAACTGTTCTTGTACAGGACCTGAGTTTAGTTCCCAGCACCCATGCTCGGCAGGTCAAAACTGTCTTCAGCTCTAGCTTCAATGGAATATGATGCCTCTAGCATCTTACAATCATGTACATACCCACTACAAACACATACACATAATTTATAATAAAGTTAAAAAGAATATATGGTATCCAAATGAAGAGAACTGTAGAAATTAGTATATACTTGTTTCTAGGATTCTAACAGTTCAAGTAAACAATATTCCTTTAAATTTTCATTAATGTACATTTTTAAATTTTTAATTGATTTTTCTGAGACAGTTTTATATATCCCAGACTGGTCCTGAACTCACTAGGTAAGTGGTTTGAATGAGAATGGCCCCTATAGGTTCATAGTTGAATGGTTTGGACCCTAGTTGTTGGAACTGTTTGTGAAAGATTAGGAAGAGGTGTGTCACTGGGGGGTGAGCTTTGAGGTTTCAAAAGACTTGAGGCATTTCCAGTTAGCTCTCTCTGCTTCTTGCTTATATTTAAGTATGTAAGCTCAAAGGTACTGCGCTCCAGCACCATGCCTGCCTGACTGCTACTATGCTGGCCATGAGCTACATTCTCAGCCTCATTAATATTTTAACAAGAAATGGCTATTTGAAAGAAAAAAAGACTAAAATTTTATTTAAATGTGTACATATTTTGAGTAATTCTAAGTCAGTAATTCTAAGAATTTATCATAATAACATAAGTATGTTTATCTGAGTATGTTTAAGACAGCAGAGGTAGTAGGTAAGTGTCCCATAACACAATAGATGCCATTACATTAGATCTGCACAATTGAGCATCAGCTGCTAATTGACTGCGGGTCTTAGTAACACTGTAAACTGCACTGCTGAAATCCCAGCTCTCATGGGTACATTCCATGAGAGCAGAGACCATTTGCTAGGTTCATTGATAAACTGCCACTGCCAAAATAATGACCAGAGTACATTAAGGTACCTAGTATCTGTAGAATAGATGAAATTTTAAGAATTAGAAAATAAGGGCCACATATTGTAAAAAAGCAAAAATAAAGGGGGGCTAAAGCGATGGCTCAGTGGTTAAGAGCACTGGCTGCTCTTCCAGAGGACCTTGGTTCAATTCTCAGCCCCCACGTGGCAGCTCACAAGTGACTGTAACTCCAGTTCCAGAGGATCTGGCACCCTCACACAGATGTACATGCAGGCAAAACACCTGCACATGAAATAGAAATAAAGAAATTAACTACATATAAAAAAGCAAAAAACAAAAGTAAGTCAGGCATGGTGGCCTATGTCTATAACACCAGCTCTGGGAGAATGAGGCAGGATGATCATGAGTTCCAGACCAGCCTGGGTTACATAGTGGGACCCTATCTCAAAAATCCAAGAAATCAGGCTGGAAAGACAATCTGGTGGTAAAGGGCTTGCCATGAAGACTGATGACCTAAGTTCCATTTTCAGAGCCCATGATGGAAGGAGGGAACCAACTCCCCAAAGTTATCCTCTCACCTCTATACACATGCCCCCCGCCACCATATACACACAACAATAATAAAGTAAAAATTAAATGTAAAGTCAGGTGGTGGTGGCACATGCCTTTAATCCCAGCACTTGGGAGGCAGAGCCAGGCAGATCTCAGTGAGTTCGAGGCCAGCCTGGGCTACAGAGTGAGTTACAGGACAGGCTCCAAAACTACACAGAGAAACCCTGTCTCGAAAAACCAAAAATAAATAAATAAATAAATTTAAAAATATCTAAGAAATAAATATGTAAATGTACAATCAATAACCATGCATATAGAAATTAATAAGCACATATATACACACATGCATGCACACACATATAGCATACACACACACACACACACACACACACACACACACACACACACACACACACACACACACACACACACACACACACACACACATATATATATATAGTAAAGATGAGAAAACAGGCCCAAATGCTCCCAATGGCTATCTCTGGATGAGTGGTTCTAGGATTTCCCCTGCTTGCCTCTTTTCTGTACTTTATAAATTTTCCTTTACAACTTTTCTCCTTGTTCTAAAGCAAGGAGAAAAACTGCAAAGTCAACAGATAAGTTACAAAAGCCACATGCACACTTCTAAAAGCTTCTAGAATGTTCCTCACCCCTCTATTTTCGGGCTCCGGCCTCTGGCCTTGAGGACGAGGAGGAGTCTTCTCTCTGAAAAGGAATTGTACAAAGTATATTGTGAGTTGCTCTCTGTGAGGACTGACCAACAGGGTTTGGGCCACTCTCCTGCTCAACACATAAAACTACTGTGCCAGGTGGTAGTGGTGTATACCTGTAATCCCAGCACTCGGGAGACAGAGGCAGGCGGATCTCTGAGTTTGAGGCCAGCCTGGTCTACAGAGAGAGTTCCAGGACAGCCACAGTTAAACAGAAACCTTGTCTTGAAAAACCAAACAAACAAAAAACCGTGCTGGCTTAACCAAATGCTGGCTTAACTCCATTCTACCTCAAACCAGGAAAACCAGCTTGTTCTGAGAAAGCCATCAGATTGCACAGCCTATTCTTGCAACAGAGATCTTGACCCAGGATGGTTATGAAAGATGGCTAGTTGCCTTCCCTGGGACTGCTTGATATGAGCTCATGGGTGCCAGAGGTCCCAAGCCAGACTAAAACAAAGGATGTATTGTCAGGTAAGAGGGTTAGGGTTCAAGGTCTCTCTGATCTGCCCCTATTAACTTCAGTTTGGCCTCCATTACTCTTGGGCTAGGACCTCATGCTATCTTGTACTTTTGCCTCTAGTTCTCAGACCCTCCTATCACTCACCTAAACAGCTTGACTGAGAGTTTATTTCACATTAGGCACTAGGCAGGATGCAACAATGCTAATACTCTTGAGATGATGCTAATTTCAGGAGAGACCCAATCAATCACAACATAGGATGGGAGCATGGGTGTGTGTGACAGGAATATGGCTGAGGGCAATTCAGATGGAGAAGATCACCTCAAGCAGGGAACTTCAAGGTTTCATAGAATACGGGCAGGAATCAGGAAAAGGCCGCAGGAAGTAGGGAGGTAGTTTGGGTAGGACCAGGGAGAGCAGAAGACACAGAGCAAATACAAGTGTGACAAATGTAAAAGGACAAACCCTTTAAGAGAAATTCAGTGTGTCTGACAGACAGGAGATGAGGAGTCGGGTGAAGTGCTAGAAAAATTAAGATATTCTTCTAAAAAAGTACAGATGCCAGACCAAGAAGGCTACCTACATTTCTGAAAACCCAACCCCTGAAAAAGCCACTCACACTTCCTGGTCCCTGTCTTCCTAGAGTCACATTCATTGGTGCTGCAACCCCACTCCGTAGGCATGCTCCTGCTTCCCAGTGTAAGAAGTGCTTTCTCAACACTCTGCACACTTGCTATCATGATATCTTGAACACTGCAGGGAACCAGCCAACTGGCTGCCTACTGGTAGATGACCCCGAGCAGCTATCTACACAGGCCAGCACATGGCAGCTCGGCTCCTCTCCTCTCTCAAGCCTTACCCTTCCCAGGTGACTCTCATCTTGACCAAAATGGCTCAAAATCAAGCAGCCAAGGGTTAGAGTGCTAAATGGATTGAATTCACCCCCAAGGAGGAAGTGGGTATCAGATGCAGTCTTTACCTGGGATCCTGCTGCCCGGTGCTGCCCCTGCCATAGAGTGGAATGACCTTGTCCCGGCTGATTCCAGCTTTGCAAACTGGACACACTTGTCTGTTAGGTCTGGTCTCCAACCACTGCAAGTGAAAGAAAAATACAAGACTGGTCCAATGCTGCCCCATTTTCAGTTAAGTACAGTGTGTGAACGGGAAGCCAGAGTCCTTAAAATGGGAAACAGCAGTTGGGAACTGGAACCTGATCTCTGTTCCTAGCATTGAAAATATGTATTGGGGATAAAATCAAAATTGCCTTTAAATACTAGTAACTAAACAAGCTCTGTCTTTCTGTTACTCTCCAGGACTGTGAGCCGTACAGAAGAAGGAATTGCAAGCCTGAGGCCTCCAGGGAGGATCCTGGGGTGAACAGAACTTAGATTCAGGATCAATCATATCATCATTATAGTGCCTTTCTGTGATTTCTTAAAAATAATTTATCTTATTTTTAATTATGTACGTCAGTGAAGGGTGGGGTTATGTGCAAACAAATATGCACACCCTCAGAGGCCCGAAGAGTAATCTGAAACTGGAATTACTCCATCTCCAATTTTTTCATCTTTACAGTATTTCCCCAATGGTGCAACCTGACATCAGCACATGGATGTGTTAATCATTTTTGGGTCATTTAGTATTGTGTTAAGGGATAGATTTTGCTTATTATCTAAACTTTATTAATGTTTTATGTTAAAACACTTTTATTTTACTTTCTTAAAAATGAACAAAAGATTATTTTAAAAATGTTATAATTGTATTTTTTCCTTTTTTTTTTTTGAGGCAGAGTCTCATGTATTTGAAGATGATGCTAAATTCTTAATCATCACACCTTTGGCTTCCTAAGTACTGGAATTATAGGAGTATGTCACCACACCTAACTTGTGACCTCTTTATGGGCACTGGATAGTTTTTTATGTATATTTTCTCAACCTTTATTTATTTTTAGCACTAGGAGATAAACTCAGAGCCTTGCACATAAAGAGTATACACACTATGAATGAACTATGCCCCAGCCCCTCAATATTATTTTAGGACATAAACTGCATCTCTAGATATGAAGATATAAAGTTCATTATATGAATATGAGCCAAAGACTCAGGGATACAGAAATAGCAGCATCTCATGATTTAATATCCCACATTTCTCACCTGTCAATGGCTCCAAAACCTAAGTTACATGATCTCTCAGTGCTCACACCAACATGTTCTGCCAAGTCTATTCTTCCAGGTTCGTTTGGGTCAGAATGCTCATCCCTAGCTCTCTCTTCTTTCTCCTATGAGGACACAGAGCAGTCTAGTCCCTGTCCACTCCCTACACCCTCTAAGCCACCAAAGAGTGTGCTGCTGTACTTCTGACACCCACGGAGATCGTCACCTGGTTGTGACTGTTCATATCCATTTGCCAATGCCAAGCCCAGTTCTTAGTGAACACTAACTGGTTTTCATAATAAATTAAAACAAGGAAGACAGACTTTCCTTCTCTGCAAAAGCTATCTATTGTCAACAAAAGTTTAACTATTCTCAATAATTTCAAGATCTTTCAGCAAAGAGAGGTGTACTGATATGAAAGGAACTATCTTTTTTACTTCTTCAAATTTTATTTTCATCTCCGTATGTATGTGTTGGGGTGTGTGTGTGTGTGTGTGTGTGTGTGTGTGTGTGTGTGTGTACCCACAGAGGTATTGGAGCCACTGGAGCTGGAGTTACAGGTACTAGGAACTGGAATTGGTCCTCTGCAAGGGCAGCAAGCATTCTTAACCACTGAACTCTCTCTCTAGTCCAGAAGTTATCTTTTATACATATAAAAGTTCAGAAACAAAAAAAATGATCTAATAGCTAAGGATGTAGCTTAGTTAGCAGATCAATTGCTTAGCACACAAGACATCCTGGGTTCCTAGCACCACATGAAGTGGAAATTGTGGTGTACCTGTAATTCCAGCACTTTGAGGCAGGAAGATTTCAACGTTATCCTCCACTACATAGTGAGTTTGAGGATATAGCTTGGGATATATGTGGTTTCAAAACAAAAATAAAACAAAAAGGTCCTAACATTATCAAACCCAACCCATCTGCAAATGAATCACTGAGACACAGAAAGTGGTGGTCAGCCAAGGTCATAATGGCTATTCTATTATTGGCAGAATCAGGACCAACCCAGGTATGATATGTCCTCCTATTACATCAAATACTTGTCAATGGGCAGGTGTATAAAAAGGGCAACTGAGCCCAGAAGCAAGGGAGATTGCAGCTTCTGACAGTAGTCCCTTGAGACGAGGATGTCTTGTGCAACTCTAGCTGATGAAAGACAAAGTAAAATAAAGTACATCTTACCTGATGCAAACACGGCCAACTAGCAGAGTCCCCAGGGCGGCCAGCCATCAGGAAGGAAAGCAGGAAGAAGGAGAAAAATGCTTTCATTAGCAGAAACACTCCATGAATAGGGAAAGACATCAGAATGGGGTAACTGGGGTGCTGTAACCCCAGTGAGGTTTCACAGGGATTACTGGCATCACAGACTGGAAAAGGTAGGGAGGGTTAAACTGGATACAGAGGCATACATCTGTAACCTCAACACTAGGGAGGTAGGGGCGGGGGAGGATCAGGAGTTCAAGGTCATCATCAATTACACAGTGAGAATGGATACAGCCTAGGCTACAGGAGACCCTGTCTTAAAACAACAAAATAGATAAGAAAAGGCTAAACCCACAAGAAAAAAACGAGAGTAAAAGTTAAGACTCGAGTCTCCAGTCCAAACTCTACCACAAAAGCAGACTCCCATGGCCTAGACCGCCCAGGCCCAATTTATTCACAGGTTAGTCTTGGAGAGATTACAGGCGCTGAAGGAATCCAATAAAAGTCAGGTATTCTTAACCTGGGGCCTATGCAGGATTGTTTGGCTTGGCCTGGGAGGAGGGGACTAGACCTACCTAGACTGAGTCTACCAGGTTGACCTCAGTCTGTGGGGAAGGCTTTGCCCTGGAGGAGATGGGAATGGGGGGGGGGCGTTGGGGGGAAGGTGAGGGGGACGGGAGGGGGGAGAACAAGGGAATCCATGACCGATATGTAGAACTGAATTGTATTGCAAAATAAATTAAAATAAAAAAAAAAAAAAAAAAAAGTCAGGTATTCTCTGCAGGAAAAGTCAGCACTGTCATGTAGCACATGACAATATGAACATACTTGTCATTTGCACCAATGTCAGCAGGTTCACAGCCTCCTTGGGCTCACAAGTGATATATGGATTCTCTGTTATTTCAGAACCATTTTAAACAAACTGCTTTTCTGGCAAGAAGTGGTTTAAAAGTCCAGGCCTACTTAAAACATCTTTGTAATGGAAAGGACGGAGAGGCTACTCGGGAAAAGGTTACTTTCATCTTACAGAGCTGCTGCCCAACATGGCTTTTCTTTCTTTTTAATTATTTATTTATTTGAATTCAGAGTCTTACCATGTAGCCCGGACTGGCTTCAGACTCATGATCCTCTACCTCAGATGTCAGAGTTCTAGGTTTATTTTACTTGTTTATTTTTATGTCTATGAGTGTTTGCTTACATGTATGTCTGTGGACCACATGTGTACCAGGTGCCCACAGAAGCCATAGGTTGTTGAATCCCCTGGAATTGAAGTGACAGATGGTTGTTACCCACCATGCAGATTCTGAGAATCAAACCTGGGTCCGCTAGAAGAGCACCTAGTGCTCTTAACCACCTCCTCAGCTCTCTTCAGGGTGCTAGGATTACAGGTGTGTACCATACCCCTGGCTCCAGTGTCTCATTTTTAAAAGAGAAAGCCAAGGTATAGAAACATGTAACTGACATCAGGACTAAAACTCTCTACTGCCTCTTCAATACTTAGCACTGCATAAAAAACATGACATTATAATACTAAGGGAAAATTATTCAATTCCAGATTTTTAGTATTTCTTTTCTTTCTTATTAATAAGTTAGTCAACAAATACTACTACGACTTACTCTGTGGCAGCCATGGTGTCTTTCACATATCATGTGCCTTTTCTAGATGAATAAAACTGTGGCCTAAGCAGACAGTGCTTCTCTCAATCCCTGAGTGAGGCTAGTTTCATCAACAAATGCAGTTTCCTAGACATAAGGGCTGCCTCATATCTGAATCCAACACTGAGCTTATGGACACTGTAATCTCTGTAGGGGCACCTCAAATCACAGCAGGACTCCTCTAGAGCTCCCTTAATTATAGGGGGAAGTGTAGGTGAATGAATGACCTTCAGAGCAAAGCTTACGGTTATAATAAAGGCACGAATCCAGAGGCAGAGGCAAAAGGAGTGCTAGAATTTCAGGTCAGCCTGGTCTACATATCAACCCTGTCTCAAAACCCAAATGAACAAAACTAATGATGAAGATTCTTCCCATTTATGAAGCAACTACTGTGTGTCAAGGGAGTGGCTAAGTGGACTTTTATTTTTTTCTTGTCATTGGATGGTCACCAGGAGATATAACCATTCCTACTTTATAGAAAAGAGGAAGGTGATATGCAGAGAAGAAACAGGTTTGCCTAAAGACACTATGGTCTGGACGCATCTGCTTCATCTTCGAATCTGTTTTTTCTAACGGTATTCTGTCTCTTAATTCTGTCATTTTGGTCTATCTATACAAAACAATTAAGGCAAAAATCTCAAATACAAAAACCTCTGCTCTAGTCTACTAATTCACCAATAAATTTATCTTTTATATTGCTGAGAATTTACTCCCCCATATTGCCTTCTTCACCATATTTCTGCACAAAAACATTAATCAGCTTTATATCCCCTAGGTTTGATAATCTGGCCCACTCCTCCACAGCCATTCTTATTTCCTAACACACCCACTCCCCATCCAGGGTTCTGTCGAGAGGAGGACAATAGCCTCAGGGACTCAGATGAACCGACAGTGCACATATCCATCCCCAGGAACTGACTGCTTTGGGCTGCCACACACCTTCATCGTATTTGCCATTATTTCCCCTCAGCTTTCAAGGTTTCTCCCTACCCTTCAAAGTCTAGCTCAACATCTCAATAGAAAAAACAACCACTACTCAACATTCACCTAAGTTCTCAGAGGCAGAAGGGAGTTCTATAAGCACTGAGACCAGGAGGACACTGACCTTGCTGCTTCATTTCACAACATATACATTAAATACAGAATAATTACCATCGTAGCTAGCACACATGCTATGTGCTCTTTTAACATGTTTACTATTTTTGGTCCACTCACTTAACACTCATAAATAAGCCTGTAAAATGAGGCAGAGTGCATGTAAGCACTCTGTCTAAGGTCGTCCAGTAGGGAAGTGGCAGAGTCAAGTCGGAAAAGGGGGAAGTCTGGCTACACAGTTCTTGCTCAAAACCACTATGCAATCTGTCCGTAGGCTCAGCACAGCAAGTGGCAGTGATGTTCACTAAATGGGGTTACTACTGGAGATATAGGAAGACATTAGGATGGAAAGAGGATTTGCCCAAGGTTACCAGACCTTCGGCAGTAGAGCTGGGACAGAAACTGAGGCTTCTTGTCCCTTGGGTCTGAGTGTATCAGGACTCAGTATGAGGGAGACATCTGCTCAAAGCATCTTCTGTCTAAAGTGAGACATTTGCCCAGGGTGTCCACAGAGGTGACAGGAGGGGTCCTCACCAGAAGAGGTGGCCGCACAGGCTGATGACAGCATCCTTGGCTGTGTCCAGGCATATGTTGCACTCAAAGGTACTGTCCTGCCCTCCACTCTCACCAGTGCCGTTGCTGCTGCCACTGGGGCCCCCTGCACTGGAATTCTCAGGGGATGCAGAGGCCGAGGGCCCCTTACTTGCCATTGTTGGCCGCCAGCAAAGATTTCAGTGAAGATTTTCAAGACAATCCTGGAAGACAGAAAGCACTGGATTGTTCATTGCTGCAGCCTACTTCTCACAACTTCCATGCCAATGCCTCCATCTTCTCTCAGCTCCAAGCAATAATTAGGATTGAATTTGGGAACAGATTTCCCAGAGGGTTGCAGGGACAGTAGCTGTAGGGCTATGCACTTCTTATGAGTTGCTCATGAATATAGCCCAAAACACATCTCATAAAACAAAACACAAACTGCAAAAATACTGAGCAGCCTCTAGAAGGTTCTCAACGTAAGTTCCCGTTTATATTTACATTCTCCTGTATTAACCACACCAGTCGATAAATATATGCTCCATTAAATACTAAGTGGAACTGTCAAGCTATCTTTTAATTTTGGACAACTTTTATGTTGACCAGGGCAGGAGAACAGACTTTACTCAAGACTGTAATTGGTATATAGCAGAATATGAAGAATTTCCAGTGACTGTGAAAGATTAGGAAGCTTGGAACAGCCAGATGATGGTCTTTGACACTTTCTACCAGCTGGAATACCACTTACCTTACTTATTCTAAATTTACCAACACACTTAAAGAGGAAGTCATGTCAGTGAAGAAAAAGTTGTCTATCCCATACCACTCAAGGTCATCCTGCACACTCATGCTCTGGGCAATCCTGATCACTTCAGGAAACATCAGATTGAGTTATCTGGTTAACTGAGTACTGTGGGTTTGAGACCAGGATTCATGGCACACACTATTTGTATTCCAACCACAGCATCACCATAGACAAAGCTGGTCACTAATAGCCAGTGGAAACATATCACTGTTGACCATCAATTCCAAATCAAAGAAACCAGGGAAAGATAATGAGATCCATTCAAGGGATACCCAGGAATTCTGAGTGCACTTAAAGAACCTGTCAGTAGCCTCATTGGGTTGCCCTTATTATCTCAGAAATTAAAGCAGGAAATACTGGGTGGTTACCACAGTCAGAGAACTGAAGCTTAGACTCAGCCCAGCCTCCAGCTTGCTAGGAACCACACTTTTTCCTTCTATGCTTTTCCCATGTGTAAAGTGAGGACTCACCACGGGGGTACCCGAACACCACCTTGATTGATTTCAGCTTCCAAAGCAAGAAAAGATGAAATCCCAAAAGCTGGTTTTCTCAGACCAAGAAGCCTTCCACTGCTTCTTCACAGGGCAGACTCAGAGCTTGGGGCTCATGAGCAGCTCTCGCTACAACAGCAGCTTAGCGACTTGAGCAGGGAGCGAGGCCGGCTCGCCACCACTTTTTCACTCCGTTACATCATTTTACGTGATGTCCCAGAAGGGCAGCTGGCTGCTGACTGTATCAGTGTCTTGCCAGCCTCAGTTCCAAGACCTTCCTCCTCTTTTATAACTCTGTGTGTGTGTGTGTGTGTGTGTGTGTGTGTGTGTGTGTGTGTGTGTGTGTGTGTGAGATGTACTGGGGAATAAATGTAGGCCCTCACATACAC